GAATTGGAATGAATTTTCCTTCAAGATTAAACCAAGCATTTCCCTAAGGTAGTTGGTCGGGATTGGAGGGTTGTTATTGTGAAATATGTCGTATGCCCGACATACTGTTGTTATTCCCTCCTCTTGTGGTATATTTGTGCACAAGCTCGTGACATCCATAGACACTAGAATAGTGTCTTGGTGTCTTTTGGTTCTTTCCACAAAGTTAATAAAGTCTGTAGTATCCTTAATATAGGATTTTTGCCTTTGAGCAATTGACTGGAGCAGTCTATCAACAAAAGATAATATTCTCTCTGTTGGACCTTCGCACCCGGATATTATCGGTCTTCCGACCGGTTTAGGTTTGTGGAGTTTTGTTAAGGTATAAAAGATAGGTATTCTAGGCGGACTGAGAGTTTGTGAAAGCCATTTAGCCGTCATGTCATCGATGTGGCTTCCTTGGTGACGTAGAGTGATAATTTGATTCACTCTTTGTTGCGTGTCTTTCACCATAGGTTGTCTTAAAGGATTATAGTGCTCTCTGTTGTCGAGTTGCACTTGGGCCTCCTTTATTTTGTCAGTTTTATTCATGATGACTGTTGTTGTGCCTTTATCTGCCTTTTTCAGGTTCAATGCAGAGTTGTGTTTCAGTTCTGCAATAGCTCTAAATTCATTTCGTGATAGATTGTATTCAGGCTTCATTGTTTTAATTTCGGCTAATTGTACTTTCACACTTTCCAAGTAGCTTTCAAGGGTGCCAAAAAATCGGCGTTTTAGAATATCCCATTTGTTTTTAGAACGTGTTTTTGATAAGTCTTTGGAAAGCATTACTTTGTAGTCGCAATACATCTTGAACGGCTGAGGGGATTGGCTGGTTATCAACGCTGAATACGACTGGTATTCTTCGATCGGCCACTGAGCTAAGCTCGTGAGACTTTTTGTCAAGTTCTTCTGAGTGGTATTATCCGTTTAGGTGACAATAATGACAATACCAACTTAATTCAGTTGCATGTCAGTTGCTTTAGCCGAGGGATAACCCCCTTCTAATAGAGGACGCCTACCTGAAAAGAATTACAAGAATCTAAGAATCACTCAAAAATCAGGTTATTATTCCTTTTAAATCTTTATAACTAGCACAGCCCGTTAATTGTTTAATGAACCTAGAGGATCGTTAAGTCAACTGATTAGTGCTGTTGAGCCGGCTGTTGAGAAAATACAAATAGTTTAGTTTCAATTTTTGGCTCGGCTACTAGGCAGAGCAGTGGCATTTCAGTGGTTTTTTGTTTCTCAGCTCACTACTCAACATATCATAACATTTCAAAGCTGACGCGCTAAGGCGAACGAGTCGTGAAAGCCGAGATGGCTTTATATTACAGTATGGCAGAGTGGCCGTCTAACGATCGATAGACTTGATAGAAGTGATCGACCTTTAAAAACGTAAATATTTTTCTTTCATAGGTTCGTCAGGGGCTTATCGTGCTAAAACAATTCGATGACTACTTGCTTTCGGTTTCAGTCGATCGAAACTTTGAGCTCGGCAGCTAATTTTTGATTAAAAAAAAGGAAATAGCTCACTGCAAATGTCAACAAATCCTTAGGTACACGGTAACCATTTCGGCCGGTTTGTCTAAAATAAAGATACCTATAGTAACCCTAATCATATTGCGAGAAATTGCATCGTCGCAGTTAGCTTAGAAATCGAATACACCGAATACAAAAAAAAATACACCTCAGATAGACAACAACATGCAACTCGCGCCACGCCAGGAGATTATCTCGATTTTCGCCTTATGAAACCGTAAACCAATGGAACATTACACATGTCAGGAAATTGCATTTTAATAGATCCGTGAGTGATTTGTTTCCTGTGTTTAGATAATAATTATAAAGACACGTCTCGGGAAACACCTTTTATCGCACAGTTTTTGTTTATTTGGAGTAAGATAATCTCCGATTAAGAGATCTTTAAGTGATTTGTCTTTGGCTTGGATTATCCTTTTCATCTGATGGCATTATTGACCCAATTTTCGGTAGGAAAGAGGGAACTAAAGAACCTCTTATCACGTAGTCGAGTACTTTTCTATCCACCGTGTTGCGGATTTGAATTCTGTAACAAAACAAAATTCTGAACTCTGTTTCAATAAGGCAAGACGTCTCAGCTGACAAAATGTGTATACTTTTCAATGAACGGAATAACTGATGGAAAAGAAGGTTTCCTTGGAATAAAAGATCAGTTTCAGCCCGGTAAAAAAAAGCTAGGAACTGCTACATCCGTACACTGATCCCGAAAAGGATAAAATTAACCACTGGTTAAACTGATGAGTCACAAGCTCGGCTCACTGAAGTGGCCCTCTGGTTACAACAAAAAACTGAACCAGCTGAATTTTGTCATTCTTCGGTTCGATTTCCTGTCAGGCAATGTTGCAGTGTCAAGGGATTCAACTAACATTTCCGTTGTCCGACGGGAACTCGGCTCTAAAATTTAACCACAAACTTTGTAAGTTTTATTAGATTATTATGAAATAGTGCGACGTGTGCCAGGTCAATGCAGTGAATTATATTTATGCCAAACCGGAACCTGTTTCTCTTAGCAGACTGTAAACGCAATGAAAAAAGAGTTAGACATAACAATTTTTCTTGGACAATTCTGTCCAAGGAGGAAAGGTGCAGTAGCGTTACTCTATGTGAAGCACCAACCCGTGAGACAAGGCCAGACCACAACACCGAGAACTACGTGCCCTACTCTTTGCGATAAGTGTGTGGGTTCTTTAACGTCCCCTACTAACCATGTGACACTGAAGATGCAGGAGACGGGGCCTACGGTTTAATTATAGTCTTTGTCTGAGAAGACTTGAATGTCTAACGATAACCATTTGCAGAGTTCAACAAAGTTCATACTAGTTTTATTTTCCTTTCAGCACACGCACTGCACAGTTGAATAGTACCTGCTGCTGATTGGATACGAGAAGTTATGATAATTATTTTGATTAGAACATCCATGCTGGACCATGGTGTTATGGAAATTATAATTATGATAATTATAACAGGAATGGATAATCATCCACATGACGAGTACGATAATGCCGATGACGACCAAGACCACCACCACGACGACGACGACGACGACGATGACAATGACGGTGACGATGACGGTGATGATGATGATGGTGGTAGTGGTGGTGGTAGTGGTGGTGGTGGTGGCGGTGATGGTGATGATGGTAGTGGTGGTGGTAATTACAACGAGGACGGCGACAACGGAGACTATGAAAACGATGGAGAAGTCGACTACAACGACGAAGAGTACGACGCTGACGACGTAGACGAAGAAATACTCTGTAAGTATTAATTTCAAGTCAAGAAAGGCGATTATTTTTGTATTGACCGTGTTGTCTGTTATCATGTAAGCGACTACCGTAAACTTCCGACAGTAACGACCCTCGTTACTTTCGGAGTAGCAGCCTCTGGGGCTTGCTACTTTTGGGGTGTCGTTACTTTCGAGGGGTCATTATTTTCGGGGAGCAAAAAACGTTATATACGGTTGGTACGACTAGGTTCTTCTTCTAGTTCAAATCTATATGTCTGTTACATGGGTGAGTTCTCCATGTCTAAACCGTGTTGTTAGTGTTCGGCGGAACGCTAGTTACATACCATAGACACCATAAACTGTTAATACTTCATGAAGCGATGCTACGTCAGTTTGCTGTATCAATATCTCAGTGCGTTGGTCGAGTTTTTCCAATTTAAATTTGAAGAAACGTTCCTTTTGTATTAACACGCTACTGTTGAAAATGACGTTAATTTGAATCAAAGTTTTCTATATTACGTTCCTGTTACTTGATGAAAATTCTACGCGTTTTGTTTTAACACGGTGCAACATTAACTGATGAAGCACGAATTGACGTTTCACAACGCGATTCCACGTTACCATACGTAACTTTCACCTGACTATTGACTGGAAAAATAAATATACCATTGAACCTGGGTATCACTATTTTGGGCGAGGTGGATGCTCGCTACTTTTGGAGGGTCGCTACATACTTTCGGGATTTATTACCGGCCACAATTTTTTGACGGTACTTTCTGGGGGTCGTTACTTTGGTAAGTTGACGACGCCTCAGCCCGAGTCAACTTTCACGCAAAGGAATCGAGAGGGAATAATCTAATTGTTTTACAACAAATCTACTTGTCTTTCCGAACTTTATCTAAATCCTCGTGTCTTCATTTGGCTTTTGCGCCTTTCATCAACTGGCCCGTGGAAGAAAATTTAGTGGTGAACAATAAAGAATAGGCAATAAACAATATTGAGTGTACGTTTGGGAACTATCGGACGTCTGATGGTAGCTCTGTCCAAACGAAAAATGTTTGACGATCAAACACAATCAACTGATCAATGTTCGGTGACCATACAATTCCCGTTTGGACGTCTTTTTTGGTCGTGTTTGATCGTGTTTGATAACATTTGAGGGACGACAAACATTTGGTCAAACATTGTAAAACATTTTGTTCCTTTGGACGGTGATCAAACATATTTGATATCGTTTGGCCATTCAGTATAACTTCAACATC